TCGATCAATATTTACACGAGTGTGGGATACGACGTCAATTTACATGTGCCAACACGCCACAACAAAATGGTGTAGCAGAAAGAAAGAATCGACACCTTGCAGAAACCTGTCGAAGCATGTTACACGCAAAGAACGTTCCAGGAAGATTTTGGGCTGAAGCTATGCGAACTGCTGCCCATGTGATCAACAAGCTTCCTCAACCAAAGCTAGGGTTCGTCTCACCATTTGAGATACTATGGGATATGAAACCTACAATTAGTTACTTCCGAGTATTTGGCTGTGTTTGCTATGTATTTGTGCCTGACCATCTACGTAGCAAGTTTGACAAGAAAGCAGTCAAGTGTGTATTTGTTGGATACGACAATCAAAGAAAAGGATGGAGGTGCTGTGATCCAACAAGTGGAAAATACTATACATCAAGAGATGTAGTTTTTGATGAAGCATCTACATGGTGGTCCTCGGAGAAGAAAGTCTTATCAGATTCAAACATTGAAGAAATTCTACAACAGAAGCTGGGGGAGCAAACTACACAAATTCAATCAAATTTCGATGCATCTGAAAATCCAAGCGACATTGATATTGACAAGCAGGAGGTGACTCAATCAAGCGAATCTGATAAAAATGAAACAACACATCAACAACTTAGGCGATCAAATAGAATCCGAAGGCCAAATCCTAAGTATGCAAATGCAGCTATTGTAGAAGATAGAGTTTACGAACCAGAGACATATGAAGAAGCATCACAAAACTCGGTTTGGCAGAAAGCGATGGAGGAAGAAATTATAGCCTTGGAGCATAATCAAACTTGGGAACTAGTGCCAAGACTAGGAGATATCAAACCCGTCTCTTGCAAGTGGGTCTATAAAATAAAGCGTCGACCGGATGGATCAATCGAGAGATACAAGGCTCGACTCGTGGCTCGAGGATTTTCTCAACAATATGGACTAGATTATGATGAAACATTCAGTCCAGTGGCAAAGATTACTACCGTACGAGTTCTGCTAGCACTCGCAGCAAGTAAAGATTGGAAACTGTGGCAAATGGATGTGAAGAATGCCTTCTTGCACGGAGAGCTAGACAGGGAGATTTATATGAACCAACCAAAGGGATTTGAGAGTGCAGCTAATCCTAATTATGTATGCAAGCTTAGAAAAGCTCTTTATGGACTGAAACAAGCACCGAGAGCTTGGTATGGTAAGATTGCTGAATTTCTTACCCAAAGTGGTTATTCAGTTGCGCATGCAGACTCAAGCCTATTCATCAAAGAAAGAGAAGGAAATTTGACAATTGTGTTGGTCTACGTGGACGATTTGATTATCACCGGGGACGATGAAAGAGAAATTTATCAAACAAGAGAAAATTTATCAATACGCTTTCAGATGAAAGAGCTAGGAGAGCTTAAACACTTCTTAGGCCTAGAAGTTGATCGCACAGATGAAGGACTGTTTCTCTGCCAACAAAAGTATACCAGAGACATGCTTCAGAAGTTCAACATGTTAGAGTGCAAGCAAGTTTCAACACCGATGGAGATAAATGCCAAGATTTGTGCACATGAAGGCAAAGAGTTGAACGATGAAACAACGTACCGACAACTAGTAGGTAGTCTTATCTACCTAACTTTAACTCGACCTGATATCTCGTATGCAGTTGGGGTTATGAGTCGATACATGCAAAGTCCAAAGAAGCCTCATCTGGATGCAGCTCGACGGATCTTGAGATATATCAAAGGTACAATCGACTATGGTCTTTTGTACAAAAGAAGCAAAGACTGCAAGCTAGTTGGATACTGTGATGCTGACTATGCAGGAGACCACGATACTCGGAGGTCAACCACTGGGTATGTGTTCAAGTTTGGTTCGGGAACAATTTCTTGGTGTAGCAAGAGACAACCAACAGTATCATTATCAACTACAGAAGCAGAGTATAGAGCAGCGGCTGGAGCAGCCCAGGAAAGTACATGGCTAAAACTCTTGATGGAAGATTTGCACCAGAAAATTGACTATCCAATATCACTTCTTTGCGACAACCAATCTGCGATTCGCCTTGCAGAAAATCCAGTGTTTCATGCTAGAACAAAGCATGTGGAGGTGCACTACCATTTCATTAGAGAGAAGGTCCTAAAGGAAGAAATTGAGATGCAGCAGATCAAGACAGATGACCAAGTGGCAGACTTGTTTACAAAAGGGTTGAATACTAGCAAACATGAGAGCTTTCGCTGTCAGCTCAACATGATGCAGCGAATGAGGACTAGTGCTGAGGGGGAGTGTTGAAATATCATCACTAGCCCAATAGAGTCAAGCCCAATAATTGTACTAGCCCAATAGAGTCAAGCCTAATTGTACGAGCCCAGTATATTTATTTTAGTAGAGATTTTAGGAGAAAGAGATGTAGATATTTTAGGAGAAAGATTCAATTTGTTAGGTCTAGATTCAAATCGGTTAGGTCTAGATTTAGATTGGTTAAATATAGATTGTTTACTCTTAGTATAAATACCCCCACCCTACCTAGGTTATTCATCTAAGAAATCTAAAAACAATAAAAAGCAGAAGTATTCTACAGAGTGTCTTGTATTCTCTTCTCGATTGGTCTTAATAAAGAGAGCGAGTGTTTCCCACAGTGAGTTGTGTTCAACAATTCTCACCCATTAGAAATAACTCGGATATGTTTATTGGGTTCCTCAACAAAAAAACGAGTGCTAAATTTTTCATTTTTATGAAAAATGTTGTCTTTGGGACACTTCTTCCTATGAAACTAGTTTCTGAGTGAAAACATTCCAGAAAAAAACATAAAAATATCAATTTAGAGAGCGAAGTAAATGATAAACTATACTAATATTTCAATCCGTGAATGTTTGTAGTGGTAGGAACATGAATTTTTGTGAAAAATAGTTTACAAAAAAAAAAAAAAAAATGTCAATTACAGATTCTCACGGCACACTTTAAATTCTATTGATATATGTCAAGTTTTCAAGAAACTGCTCAAGTTTTAGCCAAAGTAATTGAAAGTTGTTTACCTAATTAGGAGATTTATAAAGTTAATTATTCATTTTATTGCCAAGATTTTAAAGAAATAATACTTTAAAACTAGGTAATTATAAAAAAAAAAAAAAATGACCCCATCAGAGATCTATTATTTCTCTATAAAATGTAAAAAAATACAATTATTTATTAAGCTTGAAGAATTTTAAAAATTAAAATAAAATGCGAGCGTTAAAAAGATTATTCAATCTGTTGATGGAGTAGTCTCAGCTGGCGCTGGTTTAACACATATGGGAGGATTTTGCTTTCCAAAAATGTTCGGTTTCACATTTGACACAATTGGCTCTTCTTTACCACTATAAGTGAGGTCAATATCAGCAACTTCCACGTCCTCACATGGATTGCTTTTACTGCAAATAAATTTGATTGCAGCCGAACTAGCAGATGTGCCCCTGATATTCTTGAAACTAACTTTGCTAATCTTAATTGTTGATGGAATGGGAGGTTCAAAATAAACATTAATTAATATTTGTTCAAAAGATAATGAGTTGGAATCCAACACGGTTCAATTTTAATCCATACCTTTCGATTGCATTAATTCCATGGACAATATTCTTGAGTTAGTAACACTAACCATTTCAATATCTTCAAAATGCATGTCAGAGGCGGGGTACGAGACGACAGAATCTGGCCATGATTTGATCCTGACACCATTTGTAGTACCGATTAATTTGCATTTCTTCACTGTAACTCCTACCACTTCTTTTTCAGTTTCATACTTGCCCAAGCTGCCTTTGCTAATGCCATGTCCCGGTCCGCAAGTAACGTCACTAATAGTTTTTTTTTTGTTACGGTATCCTACAGATATACAATCGTCTCATGTTGCGATTATGGTATTGAGAATGTTAACTTCTTTTGAATCACCCAAGTGAATTCCATCGGTGTTGGGACTATGGTCTGGTGCAGTAATGTTAGGTGATCGAAGATAAGATTCTTGCTGGCCAAAACATTGATATGAAAATTCTTGTTATCCAATGAAGTTATGTCCTTCACTATCGAATTTGTGATGAAATTGAACTTCAAATTCTACTCGTTTTAAACAAACAAAGAAAACACACTCCGGTATTAAAACATATAATGCTAACCCAATTATGAGTTCTTTTTTTATAATTAAATTAGTTTGGGCATTTACCATGGGAAGCTTTTTGCATATTTTCTTTAGGTGACAATCATTCTTTTCCCAACCAGCCTTTCCTTGGCCATCGAAAACTCTAGTACCTCACTAAGTCAAATGATCGACATATTCCATAACAAGCAACCCATCTCCTTCCGTGTCGGTAGGAGAAGCTTGTAATGTTCCTTCAATTTGAAGCTCAATAGGACTTTTACATGGACCTTTGAGCCAGGATTCAACTAATTGATAAATTCCTGTTGGAACCAATACTTTACTTGGAGTAGTCGACGCACATGCTTCCTTCCATGCATCTGCTAAAACCGGTGAATTCAACCATTTCATTTAAGAAAAATATTTTATACAAAATAAAAATTTAGTTTATCAACTTAAACAATTGTATACATACTTGAGTAATATCAATATTAGGTTTGGCACAGAATGTCTTAACATCGAAAATACTGGCAGTAGCATCGGATTGACCACTAGACACCAACAACAACAGTATTGATATTAATGTCATAAATTTTTGATATCAATCCCATACTTTGCCTTAGTTTTCTTTTGGTTCTAACTTCCCAAACTTCTTAATCAGTTTGAATGCATTCATCCAACTTAAATTCTCTTTATATACAAAGAGAAAAATACCCCATTCCCAATTCTCATTAACTAAATTTGTTAAAAAAATCAATATGTGGTTGAAGTTAATCTCTTGTGGGTCTATAATTGGCTTTTCCATAAACCTTGTACGACTCCTCCTTAACCTGATTAATTCCTTAAGAGATAAACATGCATATCCGTCTATAGAATTGCATCTCCAACCAACCATTAGTATAAAACATATACAGTTAACTTAACTATGTCAATATACTCCTGTGTCGAATAAATATTTGTAAATCTAGAAGGTATAGCTATAATGTAAACATGTGGTAGATCTCTATTAAAGAATAAACGTGCTTTAGAGAAAAAGAGAATTAAATCGATAGTGGTAGACGAGGGAGGCTCAATATAACATTAGTTCAAGCGGGTATGTTCACAAATAATTTTACATCACATCAGCAGAAAAGCTGTTGCTCTAACCAATCTTGGCGAGGACATCGTTGAGGGTTGACACGGTCTGAGCGTAATACTTCTCTGCTTCTGAGCTGCTCTTGATCTTTGCTGCATAATCCAACTGCAAGTTGCCCATTTGATGGTGGGTGGGCAAAGAAAACGTCAGAAACAATAGAACAGACGTGTAATTGAATCAATGCTAAATTTTGGAATACTAACGTTGTTGATGTCTTGGAAGAGCTTTCCAGTGAGATCCTTAAGGGCTTGCTTCTCTTCCTTGGGCTTGGCAGAAATGATTGTCTTGAGATCATAACGGAGGTACTCTGCTTTGAGACGAAGGTCATCGCGGACGAATGGCCAAGCCTTTTTCTCTATTGATTCCTTTACATTAATGATGTCCTTGGCTGACTCTTTCGCCCTCGCCACCGCCATCTCTGGGCTTTGTGGTTGCAGGAAGAACCTATCTTTAAGTGGCAGATCCAAATCCCTTGCCTGGTCTGAGTTCAGAGTCCCAGCTGCAACAATCAAAACATTGCCATCAATTTTGTTTGTATATTTTTTTAGTGCAATTTACGTGAAGTTGTTTTGAGCTTCCCAAAAGGCTTTATTGAGACTTTTTCATCCAACACCTCCCCCTCAACGTACATTTCCCATTTTTTCGAGGAGGCTTGACTTTGATACCGTATTAGACGAACGACTCTACACAATGGTATGGTATTGTCTGATTTGCGCATAAACTCTCGTGACTTTGCTTTGTTGATTATAAACTCATGATCATTTTCTAAATTAGCAGAGGTGAGATTTCATCTTTCAACCAATTTGATGGAACTTTTTCAATAGAGTCCAATGATTACGATTAATTTAATGTTTATTCACTTACGGAGTCCACCGGAGGGAGGGGGCGGGGGGCCGAGCTTGATGGGCTTAGCATCAGCGAGAACGGCTTGAACGAACGAGGCAGAGGTGACACCGGCTGCGACCAAGCCAAGAACGGCCCTGCGACTGGTCTCTGGCTCAGCAGGCACTTGCTGAGCTCTGATCATCAACCCAGACCGGGGGACGGAGGGCCGGCTGCTGCTGCTGCTGCCACCCACACTCAATCGGGTTGAGCCGCTAATTTGAAGGCTATCTTCCAACACAGCCTGAGAGGAACCGCAGAACCCTGCCATTGATGCCATTTCTTCCACCACCAACCTTTGGAATTCCTTTTTGTTTATGTGAGAAACAGAGTCGTTGGGGACGCCACCTTATCTGCCATTCACTTGGATAAGTTGGATCTGGTTTGAACCAATTGTGTATCAACACGTGTTAAGTGATTCTTCCTCTTTGGATTGGATAGGTTCCCGCATGGACAACTAAAACTTCACCACGTGGACTTCACGAAATCATATAAAACATTATTCATATTATTTAACTTCTTCATTTGTCCACTAATTTATGTAAATTATATTTTATATGGTGCTTGTAACGTCAATTTTCATCCGTTAGTTTTATGAAAAAAATTCAAAATTTAAATAAATAATTATAGTGGATATTTTATTTTTAATTAACTTTATTAATAATTCAATAAAAAACTAAATTAACTGTTAACTTCGATATAACTTAAGAACTGAAAGATTTTTTTTAGCATTTAAAGTTGAATTTTTTTAAAACCCTTTCTTAAAGCTTTTGCTCTTAAATTCATGAACATAAAAAATTTGTGTCAAGTATGTGTTAAAATTTGTTCGCATAATCGGATAAAAACATATATATTTTTAATGTATTTTATTAAAGGTGGGAAATAATTGTATTTATTAGGCCTGAAAAGGAAGTAAGGCCCAAAATAAAGAGCCCGGCCCAAATGAGTAACGTCTCTATTGCGGAGCGCGTTCGGCCGTACCGCCAATTCAAATTTCAAAATCTTGTGTGCCCTTTTTTCCCCTCTTCGACCCGAGAGACACTGAACCAGATCTCAACGTTCCATTTTGTCTTCCTCCACAGACTCCCATAGCTCCTACAACTGTTCATCTTTCAAATTTCCGGCGCCAATCGATATCTTCCACCGCCGTTGGGCTCATTTTGGGAACTATCCAGGACTTCATCGGTTTGATCCTTTCTGGATTTGAAGAAAGATGGCATCTAGAAACCAGAATAGGCCCCCTCGCAGTCCAGCTGTTAGTCGACACTGATCTTTGATATTGTTCTATTTGTTATGATGATAGGAAAATTAGCAAATACAACTTCATTTCTTCTCGTCAGGCTGTCATAATCGAGGGTTTCATGATTACTTCTTTGTTTATTTTATATTGTTGTACTAAGAACTAAGAGCAAGTTAAAAATGGTTTAGTTTCGGAGCCCTTCAAATCAAAATTGTATTGTATTACTTACGTCACGACTGTTTTCTGAAACAATCATGCAGATAAAGGATGTTCCAGACGATGTTCCATTTGACAAACGGAGGAAGATTGCAGCTGGAAGAATTTTAGGGCCTGCAGCTGGTGCCCGAGGAAGACAGCCGTTTGTAGATGTTAATAATAGGCAGGGGGTTTCTGCTAATGATGCGTGTAGCACCGAGGATTCTGAATGTGGCACTTTGGAGTTCACAAAAGAAGAGATTGATGCGTTGTTAAGTGAGAAGTTAAAGGGGAAGAAATTTGATCTGAAGGTTGGATGACTGACATTTTTCTTCGAGCAGTTTTTTTAATAATTGAACTTTCTTGCATCTTCTTGTCCAAAACTGTTTTTCTTAGCTGATATTAGACTTTCATGGCACCAATTTGTTAGGGGAAAGTTGATCAAATCACTGATCATAATAAGAGGCTCAAGCATTGCGTAAAATGGTTACAACAAATCGAGGAAAGCCATGTACTTGAGGAGGAAAGACTTCGAACTGCTCTGGAATCTGCTGAGAAAAAATGCTCTGCTATAGGTAATTCTACGGTGTTGGCTTTCTTAGGCTCTTACTGCTGCCAGATAATTTGATATATATTTTGGAAGATATTAACAAAGAGGAATCCTATGTCATATTGTACCACCTATTTTTCAGAGTTGGAACTTAAAGAAAGAGAAGAGGAGTACTCTTCCACTATTTCAGTGCTAAGGAATGATGTTTCATCGTTGGAAGAGAGATTTGCAAAAGAAGAATCACACAAGTTGGTAGGTTTATAGACTGTTCATGCTTACTGTTTCTTGTTTGCCAATAGTTGTTAATATTCTTTTTCCCATTCTTTAGGATGCAATCGAGTGTCATAAAAGAGAGAAAAATGCCCGACTTGCGGCCGAGAACTTACAAGCTTCTCTTAGAGGTGACCTCGAGAAAGCTCTCCAAGAGAAATTAGCCGCTGAAAAGAGGGTAAAATAGCTTATATTGGAGTTTAAATGATTTTTCATGAGCATTTTTTTTTCAAGAATGGATATTTTCTTAGCTGATTTTTGTTGTAGTTTGACTTACAAATTCCAATCCTCACTCCTTGAAAATTTACAGCTTGCCTCTAATGAAGATTTGTACAAGAGGGCACAAGAGTATAATATCAGTCTTCAACAGTATAATAGTAAACTCCAAGCTGATCTTGATACGACCAGTGAGTCACTCAAACGAGTAGGAATGGAGAAAATGACAGTTGTGGAGAACCTTAGCACACTGAGGGGCCACAATAAGACGCTGCAGGACCAGTTAAAATCTTTAAAAGTAGGACGATTCTTAATCTTTGAGCTGCATGACTGTTTTTTCTTTTCCCTTCTCTTTTTACTCATGGAACGCGGCTTGACAAGATTTTCAAGAACTTGTTCTATCTATTCACCGATTTTACTTTTCCCCATGACCCTTTACAAGTAATGGGGGTGCAACCTATATCCTAGTGTAGAAGTTCATGTTTGTGTGAAATTCTTTCAGTAGTCTTTTGTATTTTGCTGCAACAGTCTCTGTCAAGAATTGTTATTAATTTCATGGCCTGTAGAATAAGTGGCAGTTGATTATCTCGTATAGGCTTCATTAGACGAGGCAGTGAAACAAAAAGATTCGTTGACGAATGATATCAAGTGTCTTCGTGAAGAGCTACAACAAGTGAGAAATGATCGTGACCGTCTAACAAGTCAGGCGCTGGCCTTGGCCGCCGAAGTGGAGAAACTTACAGAGGTCAGCGGTAAATCATGTAATGAGTTGGATAGCCTGACAGTTAAAGCAAATGCCTTGGAGGTAAAGGCCATACCTATGTTTACTGACTGAAGTTCTTGGCATCTCAATTTTTTTTAAAAAGAAACCTTTTCTTCCCTTCAGGAGACTTGCTCTTCACAAAGGGAGCAAATACGTGTGCTTGATCACCAACTAACAGCTGCAAATGAGAGATTAAAAGTAAGTGATAGTTATTCATGAATTGCTTGCTATATTGTTTTTGTGGAACATACTTTTCCTATCTGAATTAAATGTTTCTTTTTTTTTTTTCTAATCCCTTAAAAATATCTTTTTTTCCTCATAGATGGCAGATTTATCTGCTTTCCATACAAGGTCAGAATATGAAGAACAGAAAAGGTATATCAGTGACCTACAAAGCCGCCTGGCAGATGCAGAGCAGCAAATTACGGAGGGAGAGAAGTTGAGAAAAAAACTTCACAATACAATACTGGTAACGCTCATGTGCTTACTTCTGTTGGTTTAGGTCATTAGGTTTGAGGATTGTTTGGTGTCTCACGTACGATAATTAAGGGGAAGATCATGGGTATATAAGCGAAAGACACTATATTCATTGGTTTGAAGCCTTTTGGATAAACCAAAAGTAAAGTCACGAGAGCTTATGCTCAAATTGGATAATATTATACCACTGTGGAGGTTAGTTGTTCTTAAAATGGTATAGAGTTATTACTTATCCATGCCAATAGTATTCTCAAGCGTCGAACAAATAAATTGTGAGTCTCGAAAGCGTAATCATAGCAACTTAGGAGTCGAACAAAAGATTTACTTTGTTCGAGAGTTTGAGAGAAGGAGTCAAGCCTCAATTAAGAGTTGAAAGGAAGTTATTTTAGGGCTCAAGAAAAGAAGGCCTTTCGAAAGGCTCTATAGTGTTCTTAGTTTCTCTCCTTGACTAAGGGGGAAGGGATGATCATGGAGTGTCAGAGAGAGACACTAGGGGAAGTTTTGTTTGTTGTTCCTAAAAATGAGGTGGTTAGCTTTTAAATTTATTTTATTTTATCCATGCACAGGAATTAAAAGGGAATATTCGTGTATTCTGTCGAGTGCGACCCCTGCTACCAGATGATGGTGTAGGAGCAGAATCCACAGTTATTTCTTATCCAACATCAGCGGAAACTCTTGGCCGGGGTATCGATTTGTCACAAAGTGGTATGAAGAAATTCATGTTTGTGCAGCAATTCGTTAGAACTGAACTTTTATATTTGCAATCAACGCATGATGTATTTGCCTGCGATCCGTATTGACTAGAGGCTAATCTTTTATTCAATGTAATTATGTTCTTAACAGGGCAGAAATATCCCTTCACATTTGACAAGGTGTTTAATCATGAGGCTTCTCAACAAGATGTTTTTGTAGAAATAACCCAGCTGGTGCAGAGTGCACTGGATGGCTACAAGGTAACGTTTCTTCCCTCCCTTTTTGCGATTCCTTGTGAATAGAGTGCTTCAGACTATAATGATGCGAGAATTATTCCTCTTCTTGTTCCTCCCTATTTTCTGCTTAATGATATACCACTTCTGATGCCTTGTTGAAAAGAAAACTTACCGACCCGGTATTTTGTCAGGTTTGCATATTTGCTTATGGTCAGACAGGATCTGGCAAAACTTATACAATGATGGGAAGGCCCGAAGCTCCAGAGCAGAAAGGGTTGATCCCACGATCTCTGGAACAGATATTTCAAGCTAGTCAATCCCTTCAATCTCAGGGCTGGAAATACAAAATGCAGGTAAAACAAACAATCTTATTTTGATCATCAATTGTTTTCTATACTCTTTGTAGTCCCTTCTAAGCAAATGCTTATTGTAGGTTTCCATGTTAGAAATATATAACGAAACCATCCGTGATCTACTGTCAACACATCGATCTAGCGGTTCTGACATAACAAGGACAGAAAATAGTGTTCTTGGTAAACAGTACACCATTAAACATGATGCAAACGGGAACACACACGTTTCAGATCTCACCATCGTCGATGTCTGCAGTATGAGAGAGATATCTTCACTCTTACAGCAGGCTGCCCACAGCAGGTGTATTACTTTGAGAACGATAACTTGAACGCTGAAATTCTTTTTCCCTATATAGTTTATGTGCAAATTAGAGGATCAGAATGGGCGACAGAATTAAATGTGAATTGGATTTGATTCTCAGGTCCGTAGGAAGGACTCAAATGAACGAGCAGTCATCAAGAAGTCATATGGTATTTACACTGCGTATATCAGGCGTAAATGAGGTAGGTTTCCTTATAATCCGCACGCATGAACAGTTTATTTACAGTATGTATCAGCTGAAATTTTTCTTTCACTTTCCCAGAGCACTGAACAACAAGTCCAGGGGGTTCTAAATCTCATTGATCTCGCTGGGAGTGAACGGCTTTCAAGGAGTGGGGCAACTGGGGATCGGTTGAAGGAAACACAGGTTCTCATTCCTTTATCCTAGTGTCTTGCAATTCATGCTAACCTTCAGAACGATATCTAACTCTTTTCTGCAATAATTATGCTCACTTCCATTTTTCCTGACTATATCATCATCAGGCTATCAACAAAAGTTTGTCGTGTTTGAGTGATGTCATATTTGCGTTGGCTAAGAAGGAAGACCATGTCCCGTTTAGGAACTCCAAGCTTACGTATCTTCTCCAGGCATGTGATTTCTCCAAGTCTTTTGATCTTTTACTGGTCTACTGTTAGCTAGACACTGGCCATATTCATGCCTAGGCATAGATTCTAACTAGTTTGTGTATGTATACAGCCATGCCTAGGCGGAGACTCAAAAACTCTGATGTTTGTGAATATCTCCCCCGACCCATCATCTGTTAATGAATCACTTTGCTCCCTTCGGTTTGCGGCCAGAGTGAATGCGTGTGAAATTGGAATCCCTCGCCGGCAAACAACCATGCGACCTGTGGATTCCCGCTTGAGTTATGGCTAAAATTGAGTTAGTTGTACCCTGCTGCATTTGCATACATAAATCTTATTTGTGTCACAGAGTTCTAGTATTACACTTAGTGTTGTAGATGTTTGGTGTTGGGATCAACCACTAATTTGTATCAATATCAGGCTTAAAATCATCAGGCTGTGCGCTTTTAACATGAGTTTTTAATTCTTACTTTTCTGTACAACAGGTTATGGTTTTATGAACCTTAGCATAAATATCTCATATTTCTAATTCTAATCCTTCGTTCTGTACTTTGTAAATGATATTGATTAATGTTTGATATCTATTTCTTATCATTCGATATCCGAATATATCAACGGATATGATCAATCCATGTTGAGGATAATAATGCAAAGGGATTAGGAAGATCTTCCTGTACTATTTCAAAGCTTAGCTGCTTTCTTGTGAAGCTAGTGAAGAATCAAATCAAATCATATCAAACAAGTTGGATAAGATTAAATTAAGAGGTGGGGTCGGATTCGTAACCAAAATTTTTGCAATGTTTATCTCGTATAATCCAATTGTGCAAATGTTTAGATTACAACGAATTTCCATTATCAATCGCTGAAAGACTTGAAAGATTCTGAATTGCTAAAAGTGGAGATGGAGGGGCAAGAACAGTGGTGAAGGATTAGGGTTTGTGAAATTATTGTCTGGCTGGAAGATCTTGAGTATATAAGTAAAAGATATTATTTCACTAGAGAAGCCAAAAGTAAAACTACAAGAATTAAGAATGAGTGTGAGATCCCTTGGAGAGGAGAAGGAAACATTCTTGGTAAGGGTATGGAAACCTCTCCCTAACGCTGTTTTAAAATTATGAGGCTGACAATCATACGTAACGGGTCAAAACAGACAATATCTACTAACAGTAAGTTTGAATTGTTACAAATGATATCAGAGTAAGACACCGAGCAGTGTACCAGCGAGGATGCTGGCCCCCAAGTGGGGTGGCCTGTGAGATCCCACATTAGTTGAGAAGGAGAACGAAACATTCCTTATAACGATATAAAAACCTCTCACTAATAGACGTGTTTTAAAAACCGTGAGGCTGACGACAAACAAGCAGTTGGGCTTGTCAGTGATACCCATTTCAAAGAACTTCTACTCTGAATAGCATTTCAAAGAACTTCTACTCTGAATAGCATTGTTAACCATCGAAGTGTTTACAAAGAAGAAACTCATAACTGATGGTATGGTAATGTATGGTACTCAGATTGACAAGCTTGTGGGTGCCAATCCAGAAGAGATGAGGAAAAGGATAGGCGCATATGTCGAGACCATACATGTTATGGCTGTGGTTTTGGCATCAGATGGAGACAAGTGCTGGCGTGGCTCTTGGTTTTTGTGGTTTATAGTCTCTCAGATCATGTAAATTCAAGTTGCTGAACGGTTCAATGAGATCTACCATCATGTTATCATCCTGGAGTAGTGAAATTTAAGGGAATGGATTCTGGGATTTGGTGTCTTGATGCTTGATTCCCTGTTGTCTTCTTCATATATCATTTCTGGAATACCAGAGCTTTCATTCAACAACATCTTCCATGCCTGCCAAATCAACTCTCTTTCTCACTTTTTACCAGAAAACTTCCACGAAATTGACTGTTGAATCAAGAACTAGCACAAATAAAACATGACTGTTGAATCAAGAACTAGCACAAATAAAACAGACTCGCAATACTTAAACTCGAAAGAAAAAGGAGTGTACCTGCTAAGCTCACCCCTAGTTAATATTGTCTTTTTTGAATCGTTACATATCATCGTCAGCCTCACGGTTCTAAAACGTGTTTACTAGGGAGAAGGTCTACCCCTACTCTGACCAGTGTCTCGCAATGAGAGAACCATGTCGAAGGAACTCGGCAGAGTGACCCCGTAACTTCGGGAGAAGGGGTCAGTAATTAGAGTATCAAAGCCACAACTGATGTGGGACTTCACAATTGGTATAGGCCGAACAGGACTATATCTATGGGTGGTGAGCTTGGGTTATTACAAATGATTTGACAAATATCTACTAATGGTGAGCTTGGAGCTGTTACAAACGGTATTAGAGCCGGACACCGAATGGTGTACCAATGAGGAAGCTGCTCAAACAAGGTGGATTATAAGATCCAAAGTCGGTTGGAGAAGAGAACGAAATATTTATTATAATGGTGTAGAAACTTACCTCGGGTCTGCGTGAGCGAGAGGAGAGAAGTGGATCGTGGCGTTGGGAATTTCAAATCCCAATTCAAATCCCGTCGGATGGTTAAGAATTGAAATGTAGAAAGGGAATGGGGAGTGTGTGGGCCTAAACATGGGAAGCATCACAAAATATTGTAAATCTCTGTGTTTACTTTATTTTGTTTGTTGGAGTGTTAGCGTTAGTGGACCAGTTGCAGTATGCGATTCTTCTTCGATTTTCCCTCCCCACTCTTTCCTCAGATTCCTTTAACCATCTCTACAAATTTCCCATCGCTTCCTCAATCAAACCAAAACCAATTTCTTCTTCCGCAATGCATATGTTCTAGCATTTGCCATGGAACACGGCTCTCTACGTTCCCCCCTGTAATCCGAAATACTTGTACCCGCGATTTTTGAGAGATGGCATCGTCTGAATTCACGGATTGGGTGTTCGATTACGGCGCGATTGAGGACATCCCTGTCCCCGGCGGCGACCTACCTTCACTGGATCTTCCTGCTTTCACTTTGCCTTCTCGCGATTTCACTGCCTCCTTCAGGTTTTTCTTTTTTCGCTTTTGAATTTCTTTTTGGTTGATTGTATGTCGTTGATATGAACACAAGCAGCACTCTAAATCACCGTACGTCTCAAATAAACTATTCAAACTTAAAATGAATTGATATATTAAATAAAAATTGAGCTTAAAATGTAATAGTTTAAGTCCACTCGTAAAAATTGTTCATTTTAATTTGTTGCCTATATTGTCAGCATCATGAAAAGGCGTTCTAAAACCATGTAATAATGTTTCGTTCACTTTTCCAAGTGTGGATGGGATTTTACAATCCACTCCTTGGGGGCTAACGTCTTCATTGACACACCGCCCCTCCAACCGATGTGAGATCTTACCATCCACCTCCCAGTGCTTGCTCTGATATTATATGTAACAATCCAATCTCACCGCCAGCCGATAGGGTTCTTTTTAGACTTTCACTTTTAAGTTTTCCTCAAGATTTTTTATTAAAACGCATATATTAGGGAGAAATTTTCACACTTTTACAAGAGATGTTTCATCGCCCTCTCCAATCAAAGTGGGATCTCACAAAAAAAATGTCGAATAAATTTCAAATGGACCTATTGAAATAACTTTTGAAGTTTAGAGACCATATGACATAAACTTTACTTAAAAGTTTAGAGACTAAACGTGTAATTTAAACTTATATCTCGGGAAAGAACTCAGTCTTCTTAATGTTTCAGGGCAGATTTTGATGAGCAACTTGAAATGCCAGACGACATAAAGGAATCTGGATCCAGAAAAAGGTGAGCAGTTATTGATTCCCAACTTTAGAGGACAATTAGCATCATTGTTTATGTTGTAAAGCTGTGGCATTGAATTTAAGCATATTGGATATGCCCTTTCAAGAACATGGTAGTGTTGTTACTGTTGACAGGATGAGCAGCTCTGGATCAAATGCATTTGGGTCCAAGGCACATAAAGAGAAAATGCGAAGGGATAAACTAAATGACAGGCATCTAAATTCTATTACATTCATTGTTTTCGCCATTCTCGTCTCGTCTCGGCTCTGCTCCATCCCGACCTCATGTTTTCTCTTTGTCCATTAAAGGTTTCTGGAATTGAATTCCATCCTCAATCATGGAAGGCCTCCCAAAATTGACAAGTCTGCTATTTTGGGTGATGCAGTTCGAATGATCATACACCTAAGGGATGAGGCTCAGAAGCTTAAGGAATCTAATGAGACTTTTCTGGAGAAGATCAATGAAATGAAGGTGGACACGAGACCGTTCGAGTATCGTATTTTGGCTGAGTTTACCGTACCTCTTTAAACTGGCCTCTTTAATTTTATTTCTTTTGTGTAGGCTGAAAAGAGTGAACTACGAGACGAGAAACAGAGGCTGAAAGAAGCAAAAGACAACCTTGAACAGAAAATGAAGGCGTTCAATACACAACCAAGCTTCTTGCCTCACCCTCCTGCATTTTCTTCTCCAAATCAGGTTGTTGGAGGCAAGTTGGTACCTGTGATCGGATATCCCGGAGTATCGATGTGGCAGTTCATGTCTCCGGGCACCATCGATACATCGCAAGACCACGTTCTTCGGCCACCAGTTGCCTGAGTTGTCGGAGTTCATTACTTCACCGGCTTTGCTTTTGAATGAGAGGATTCCTATGTATTTTCAAGATAGAATTGGCTGAATATCTGTTTTGTTAAACAAGTTTCTGCTGATCAAAATCAATGCAGGTCTGCTACAATAACGGTATTCACCAATTCTGGAATCTTATTTCCTTTCTTCATCTTCTCCTTCTGTTTGGGTTCTTGCCCAACTGTTCTTCAGCAGCTGACATTTCTGTAGAGATTTTGTGAAATAACCAACTATTTTCCTCGTCTTCCAAAGACGTCTAAAAGGAAGAACTTTTTAGATCATCTTGATGACAGGTCTTAGGATTATGAATTTCAAAGATGATTGGATTAATGTCAGCTGCCACAATTCTTGTGGACTATGCCCTTGGGTCTGATTTATAGCGATACTAGGAACAACAAACTACCATAATATTATAATATTGTGCATTTTGAGTATAAGCTCTCGTAACTTTATTTTTCGTTTTTCTAAAAGACCTCATATCAATAAAGGACTCATGATACCGTGTCAATCATTGGATATATATATTATATAATACACACACATGACTGCCAGTGGTTTCATTTTTCAATCATTTGTGACTTTGAAAAGTTTAGCAAAAAGTCGAGGGGTTTCATTTCAATTTGGGGTCACTAGTTGCCATTGAAGACCAGTTGGAAGTTGCACCATTTTCAAGCCGTCACCTTTGACCCATTCTTAATCAACAAGTTCTCTAAAATAGACTAACTAACGTGGATATAACTCAGAAATGGACATGTAATTTAGACCTTGAGTTTCATTGTGACCTTGAGATTGTCCACGCATTCGAGAGGCAGCACTGTTGACGAAGAAGGCAGGTTGAGAGGGCGTTGGCAAAGAGAAGGACCCATTGTTGAGCATGAGAAGCACAGTGCTCATCGTTGGCCTCGCAGCTAAATTTGCTTGAACACATAACAATCCAATATGAATGCATCTCCCCATTTCCGTTCTTGACCCATTTCTCAAGCAAGGATCAACAATATCTAAAGCATTCCCATTCCCCCAACTTCTCCATGCCTACAACACCAACATTTGACAGTCATCATTCATATGCATCTACTCACACTGACACTCAAATGAGCTAACACTCGATACTTACAAGGCTGACGAGACTTTCTTCGACCTCCTTGTTGGTTTGAGCTCGATTATTCTTTTGTCCACTCACGATCTCTAAGATTAAGACGCCAAAACTAAACACGTCTGATTTCACTGAGAAATGACCGTTCCATGCATACTCTGGAGCCATGTATCCACTGATGATATAAAACTAATTTCATTAGTATCTCCCTCACCAAATGAAATGTAGAATTTAGTTGCAGCTACTTACAAAGTGCCCATGATTCTTTTTGTATGTCCTTGGGTTTGATCATGATCGAATAGTTTCACAGTGCCGAAATCTGAAATCTTAGCATTCATCTCCTCATCTAATAAAATGTTACAAGCTTTGAGATCTCGATGAATAATTTTAAGTTGAGAGTCTTCGTGGAGATATATAAGTCCTTGAACAATGCCGTCTATGATATTATACCGAGTCTTCCAATCTAAATGCTCACGCTTTATGGGATCTGCATGAACATATTAATATCCAAAGTTAGGATCATTGTTAGAGATTTCCCAGAAATAAAGTAGGAGAAGCAGAGTGAAGTGTTACTAAATAGGAATTTCTCAAGGCTGGAGTTCTCTACAAACTCATATATGAGCAGCCTTTCATGATGTTTGAAGCAGAAACCCAAAAGCTGAACTAAATTCCGATGTTGAAGCTTTGCCACCAACAAGATTTCGTTCTTGAATTCATCATCTCCTTGTCTTGAGCCCTGAAACAGTCGTTTCACAGCTATACTTTGTCCATCGGAAAGCCGACCCTGTCGATTAATTACATGAAATGGGTGCAATCGGATATCAAATACTCGTTAAAACTTGGGATTGTTAGGAACCACGACTCTCCACAATCTATGATATTGTCCATTTTGAGCCTAAGCCTATTCTTTACCTTAAATTCAGGATCATTTCCTAAATTAGCTAACGTGGGACTCAATTACCTTATAAACAGCTCCAAAGCCACCTTTCCCGAGTTGATTTTCGTCCGAGAATCCATCAGTTGCAACTCTAATGATGTCAAAATCGAACTGCAGAGACTCTACATTTGTAACTTCATCTTCAGGCAGATCTGTGGATTAAAAGTTTAAACAAACACAGCCATGAATCCTGTTGTGAAATGAAAATGGGGTATCAGCAAAAGGGGTTTTAGCTTTACTTTGAGCTGAATAGCTCCTTGGCTTTCTTTTCTTTAAGAAGATGCTGATGATGATAAGGGCGACAGCAGCTATGATAACCACAATGAGAGGCACAACAATGAAGACGACTATTCCAGATGAGTTTCCTGGAAATAAAAACAGGGCACTCTGTAATGAGTTAAGAGATAAAGAAAGAAAAAGAAGCGAATATAACAGGATGAACTGTAAACTACCTTGCGGAGTGGTAGCAGTTGTGTTTGGTAAATTAAGTGGTGGTGGCACTGACTCCGGCCGATTCTGAATGAAGGGATCGATGTCAAATCTAATATTACAACTGGGTCTTCCAACTCTCCCGCCCATCTTCCCATCACAACAATCTCGAATTTGAGCAATAGCACCAAGCAGGCAGTTGGTGCAATCATTGGCAGACAAATCAGGAGTGCACTGCACAGCCCCAAAAATGGGCCAGTAATTGGGAATTTCCGCGTCTCCATCGGCAAATTTCAGACGAGAATCACCCGCTGCAGCTTCGGAGGTGAGTTGCTCAAGCAAATTCCTGGCCGCCTGAGTGAACCGTTCTGGGTCTGAAGCATTACGAGTTCTCGAGGAAAAGACAGCAGGGGAAGGCTCCATGACGCCGAAGATGGAGCGGTCGGAGTAACGAAACATACACTCGTCGTACCATCCAATAGTCTCAATCTGGGTGGGACAGTTTTTTATGAGAAGGGTTATAGTGTTGTTGAGGCACGTTTGGCAATCGTCTGGCCCGACGTCTCCTCTGCACAGACCAATAGCATTAGCTTCGCGGTCATGGCCGTAAGAGAGGTTGTAGAAGCCGTAGTCGATTTGGCGGTGGGTGGTAAAGGTGGAGAGGAGGTGATCAAGATTGGCTTTGTAGGTACTGTCAGCGGTGTAGTTACCTTGTTCATTTTGGCAATTATAGTATTCGAAATCTGACTGACTCGTTGCCATGCGTTGCCAAGTAATGGATACCAAGAAAATCACGAAACCCAGAAAGAGGGAAGGTGAAGAACACATGAATCTTGGCCAAACCATTTGCTGCTTTCAAACAAAGTCGACTGACCTAAACTTGAGCTCCATTGATGAAGTTATTTATGGTAAGAATTGGTCAGCAGGGAGTGAAATTCACGGCTTGGAAATGGTACCCCAGCTTCCGATCGGTCTTCATGGCCCACCCATGAAGACCGATTTGCCAGACTTTTCAAAGTCAATGACCCAGACAATGAAACCACTGGCTAAACAAGCAGCCTTACATTTTTTTATTCACCTTTAACCTCAAAATTTTAAATTTTATGTACTTTTGATTGATGAACTTTAAAAAATTCCTTCTCTCTCCATCCACGGCCACCGCCATCCTCCATCGACGCTTGGCCTGGCCTCACGATTTCAAGGCTTTGTGGAGTAACAAAGTAATGGGTGGTTCAAGATTTATATGTTCCATTACTCTGAGTTTGTTGTTTTTGGCGCTGATTGGTCACCCTCTGGCATTTGCTCAGCCAAGATTGTTACACTTTATCTGTGTCGACGGAGGCAATAGCAACCATACAACTGATGGGGCTGCCTACAAAGCCAATCTAGAACACCTCCTCTCCACCTTCACCACCGACCATCAAATTGAGTATGGCTTTTACAACTTCTCTTACGGCGGCGAAAACAGTGCATACGCAATCGGACTCTGCAGGGGGGACATTTCGGCGGAGGCTTGCCGGGGATGCCTCAATAACTCCAGAGATATTCTCCTTACACGGTGTGAGATCCAGAAGGAAGCGCTCGGATGGTACGATGCCTGCATGCTCCGTTATTCCGACCGCCCCATCTTGGGGTCCATGGAAGTTTCACCGCCCGCCTTTCTGTGGAACACGATGAAGGCGTCGGATCCGGAAGGATTCACCCAGGCCGCCAGGAATCTGATAGTGAGTCTCATAGGCCCAACCTCGGCCGGCGACTCCCGTATGAAGTTTGCGGTGGGGAACGCAACGCTTCCAAATTTGCCCACAATTTATGGCTCAGCGCAGTGCACCCCAGATTTGTCTCCGCGGAAGTGCAACGAATGCTTGTCTGGGGCTCTGCCTCTAATCCAAGATTGCTGTGATGGAAAGCGAGGGGGTAGGGTTCTTAGACCCAGTTGTAATTTTCGATATGAGACCTACTCTTTCATTCAATCGCTGCTGCCGCCGCCGCCGCCGCCGCCGCCCACCCTCTCGCCCTTTCCACCGCCACCATCCCCTCCTCTTTTACTTCACAGAACCACCAACGGTAATGCTACTGCTTCCACTTCCCGGAAAATTGCTCTGTTCCTCCCTCATTACCCTGAACTACTCTGTTTTTCAGGAAACAAAAGCAGCTACTCTGCAACTTTCATAGCTATCGTTGTGCCTATTGCTGCTGTTGCAATTTTAGCATTAATGATCAGCATCTACATCTTTCTGAGAAAATGTTGGCCAAAACCCAGTGGAGAAAACTGTAAGCTAATCAAATTAGAACTATTTTTGGTTTCATTATGGAATACTGTTCTTATATTTTGCGCCGACAGGTCAATCCGAGGAAGAAACTACGACAGTGGGGTTCTTACAGTTCGATTTCCACACCATTAGAACAGCAACAGATGAATTTTCAGACGAAAACAAACTTGGGGAAGGTGGGTTTGGAGCTGTTTACAAGGTAATAATGAACAGCTTTCATTTTTATCAATAGCTCGCAGTCGCCGGCGATGAACTTTTTTCTCTCTGTCCATTAACAGGGGAAGCTTCCAAACAAACGAATCGTAGCAGTCAAACGGCTTTCTAAGGTTTCAGGGCAGGGAGATGATGAATTTAAGAACGAACTCCTTTTGTTATCTAAGCTTCATCATCGGAATTTAGTTAGGCTTTTGGGTTTCTCCTTCAAACAAAACGAAAAGCTTCTCATTTATGAGTTCTTGCAGAATGGAAGCCTTGAAAAATTCATTTTCGGTACATAATTCTTCCTCAATTTTCAACATTTCTTCATTAAATTATATCTCTAATCACTAATCCTTCTATACCCAGATCCTCTCAAGCGCCAAACTTTGAATTGGGCAAT